CCCTTAACCCCAGTCTTGACTATTCCAAACCACGCTTATGTGCTCGCCCAGGACGCTGCGCATGTAAGAGCTGGCTAGGTCAGTTGAGTGTTGTTGATGCCTGGTGCATCCATCACCAAGATGAACGCATTTACAGTGGCCCCCGCCCGCGCCAGAGCCGACTTGACTACGTGTTGTTGTCGGAAGACTTCCACAACGCGCTGTAAGGCGACTCCAAGTATTTTGAGCCTAAGGGCGCAGGGGACCACTTAGCACATACAATGACCCTGAGCTCCATGTCTCAGCCTCATGGATACGGCTACTGGCGCTTTCCGGAGTACCTCCTGGACTACCCGGATGTTGTGGATGCCGTTCGAGGCGAAGCCCAGCATGTTTAATAGATATCAATGCTGCATCTAGTCCGGGCTAGGTATGGGAACAGTGGAAGAGGTCCATGGGGAGACAGATCCAGGCTCCACAACGTAAGCTGCGAAACAAAAATGACGCTGCAATTAGGATCGCATAAGCTTCGCTAGAACAAGAGCGACAAGGTATGTCTATATCCAAAGATTTCTTTCATGCTGCACTGAATACGTACCGGGACTGCGTGTCCCAGGATCGTTGCTATAACCAAGACTCGGATTTTGACTTCCAAGTCCAGAATGCCGAGACGTCTTTCAGGTACCTATTCCGTCCGCTCGTCCCATCACTTCGGCGGGTGAGTATTGAAGAAGTTCGAACCCCAGATGGCAATATCTCGCGAAAACCAGCTGATATTTCAGCAAGATTTCACGCCCATTGAGGAGCTATTATGGGTGATGCTGACAGGCGTGCAGGACCACCTCCAATTGCATATCCCGACAGTCAACGAGAGTTGCTGGATACGGTTGACAAGCGTCTTACACCAGAAGACCAAGCTTTGCTAAATGCCACAATTTCTGAAGCTGAACTCACCAACGCGCTCAAGCACATTTAAGTCAACTCTGCGCCCGGCATGGATGGTCTTACAGTTGGCTTCTACCATGTCGCGGCTGAGGGCTTTGGGAAATGTCTGAGTATAGTTTTCAAATAGCAGCTGTCACGCGGTGAGCTCCTTCCTTCCCAACGCAAGTCAGCTGTGTGCATATTAAACAAGAAAGGGTCCAGAGATGAACCTGGCATGTTCCGACTAGTATCACTCATTGGTGTTGATAAAGCCGTGTAAAAGGTGCTGTCCTATCGCCTTCAAACCTTTCTTCCTCAGCGTATTCATGGCGATCAAAAGACCTTCGAGAAAGGTCGGTCTTTACATCATCACGTGCGCTTCATGGCGGATCTGCAGGATCTCATAACTGCTCGCCAAAAGAAAGCCTATACCATGTTTCTCGACTTCGTTTCTCGAAGGCATACGACTGGGTCAACTGGGACTCTATGCTGCTCGACCGCATGGGCTGTGGTGGCGCTTTCACTGATTGGGTGAAGCTTCACTACGCGAATCCACAGACACACCTCTTGCTCAACGGTCACATCCAATCGCCGATTCCTCCGACACGGGGAGTTAAACAAGGTGGCACGCTTTTAGCGCTACTGTTCCTTATGGTCATCGATTCGCTGGAAAGTCTGCTCCGGCAACATGAAGAGCATGGTTTTTGCGTCACCGAAGATCACACCATCACCAGCGTCTTCATTGCCGATGATTCAACGCTGCTCTCCAGCTCGTGATCTGGTATACAGGCACAGCTTGATCTGGTTCAGCTGTCCTTTGACGGCTCTGGGGCCAAGATCAATCTTACCAAATGTGTGCTTATGCCTCTAAAACAAAGAACCAGCCCACCAAGCATCCCTGGCGTCAGGTCGCTTCGGCGTGGAAAGACCGTCAATCCTACTCGGTCAAGATTCAGTCGAAGACGCCATCGTGGAGTTCTTAGACCGGCGTTTTTACCAGGAATTTCTCCAATGGTTCCGTCACGCTCGTACCCTGAGAGGCCGTCTGCTGATTGCGCTGACCATGGTTCTCGCTTGGCTGTGGAACTACACGGTGCACATGCCAATTCCGCACCGTGTCGTTGGACAGTGGCAATCCACACTCAACCGCTTTTTGTGCTAGCACGTCGCTACGAATGCAACGCAAAGCACATCCAGTTAATCTCCAAGGAGTTTTTTTTATCAATTCCGCTCCGATGGCGGTCTGTCTATAATCAGCATCGAAGCTTTGCTCAAGCGTCGGAAACTTACCGTGCTGCCTCAATTCATCGCTTTGTCGACCTCGGCATAACGTGCGTGGACCATGCCAGGAATTGCAGTACTGTCACTCGTGCTCCCAATATGGGACCCATGGAAATCTCACGAATTCCTCGCTGTTAGCCCCATGCGGCATGGTGCTCTACTTCGACGGGACGTACTGTCCCATTGGTGGTGACAGGTCTGGCGTCTGTGGTATCGGGTCAAGTGGGAAGTTACATTGCGAGAACTCGCCCCTCTCTCTCGTTTTGG